TGTCGACTGTATGTTTGTCTACGTGTAGCACCTCATCACCAAAGCAAATTCCTCGCATGAGTAAAACACTACTTGGCAATAAAGCTCCTTCTGATTCTGATTCTGATCTGACTCTGTTTCAGACCGACTTCCGGTTCAAGTGACGAAATGACAAATAAGGGAATTTGGATGCATCTTATGTAAATACTCCACCAACAAAGAAGACGTCATTTTGTTCTTCCCCCCTCATAAAGATGCCTTTCAGAAGTAAATCGTGCATTAACAGGTTTAATAATATGACGTCGTCTCTGAGAGAGGAGGTTTCACTTCTCTCTGTAATAAGAAAGATGAAGTAAAAACATTGTTGTGTCTTCTTCTGGTTCAGTTTGTTCTCAGAAAAGCTGCAGCGCTGCTTCTGGTGGACGACAGGAAACAGACGAGGAACAAGAAGAAGAAGAAGAAGAAGAAGAAGAAGTTTTATTTATACAGCGCCTTTCCAGAGCTCAAGGTCGCTTTACATGGTACATTTACACACTAACACACAACTTACAATCACATAGGATACATATAGTCACATTTAAACGAAATACATGTTAAATAGATATGTTTTTAACTGTGTCTTGAATGTAGCCACAGGTGAAATATTTCTAAGTGAAAGGGGCAGTGAATTCCATAATTTTGGAGCATTAACACTAAATGACCTTCCACCTACTGTAGACAACAGGAAACGAGGGATGGACAATGAACCAAGTTCAGGTGATCAGAGAGACCGTGCAGGGCGGTAGGTGAAAAGTAGATCAGACAAAGGAAGAGAAAATCACATAAAACATAAACAACTCACACCTTCATACTACTACTGCTTATACTGCTAATATTACCAGTAGTACTGCTACTAACACGACTACTACTATTACAACAACAAACTACTGCTACCAAAATACTGTTACTAACACTGTATACTATTCTAATGTTATGAGTACTATTACTACTGCTTGGCTACTAAAACTTCCACCAGTACTACTGCTACTATACCTTTATACTATTACTGCTATTGTAAGTCTAGACGTACAGTTACTACCACTAACACTAGTAATTGTACTACTAGTAGTACAACTAGTACTCTTACCACTATGCTACTGCTATGCCTTTATACTTTTACTGTTACTATTGTAAGTCTAGATGTACAGCTACTACCACTAACACTAATAATTTTACTTCTAGTACTACTACTAATACAACTACTACATGCTACTACTGTGACTTTATAGTATTACTACTGCTATTGTAAGTCTAGATGTACAGCTACTACCAATAAAACTATTAATTGTACTACTAGTAATACAACTAGTACTCTTTCTACTATGCTACTACTATGTCTTTATACTATTACTACTGCTATTGTAAGTCTAGATGTACAGCTACTACCACTAACACTAGTAATTTTACTTCTAGTACTACTACTAATACAACTACTGGTATGCTACTACTGTGACTTTATAGTATTAGTACTGCTATTGTCCAAGCCACTAGCCTTACAGCTGCTACCAATAAAACTAGTAATTGTAATACTAGTAGTACAACTAGTACTCTTACAACTATGCCACTATCATACCTTAATACTATTTCTACTGCTTTTGTAAGTGTAGATGTACAGCTACTACCACTAAAACTAATAGTAGTAACCACTACTTCTGCTATTCTACTACTATGCCTTTATACTATTACCATTGCTATTGTACATCTTAATGTACAGCTACTGCCACTAAAACTAATAATTATACTAGTACTATTACTTCTAATAGCCTACCATACGCTACTACTATGCCTTTATACTTTATACTCTTGGTATACACCTACTACATTTAAAACTAGTAATTGTTCTACTATAGTTTCTACTACAACAGCTTTTCTACTTCAGTTAACTAAATCAATGAAATAAAGAGTCCTGGTTTCAAACTCCACACAATACTTCTTGGCAGGTTTTGATTATTTAGTGAGTGAACAGTTGAAACGTACACTCAGTATAAGCAGTACACACTTAAAATTTGAAGATCAGCGATGACAAAAAGGAGGTATTAGCCCTTGGAAAACATTTTAGTTTAGTGGCATTTGATTATTCTGAAATCAGTATCATGGGAAGTCAATTATCTCTAAACCAGAAGTGTATTTGCAACTCTGCATACTTTGCAAGTATTTTGACGTCTTAGAACTACTTGACACACATGAATCATTCATGGAAACAGACGAGGAAGTGAAACATACAGCAAAGACTTTGACCACTCTGCACATTCAATCACCATATTCAACTCCAACCAATGAACTCATCATCACTAATAACACAACCAGTCCTGCAAGTGCTCCTACTAATGCTAACACTTTCATTCCAACAACTACTACTGAAAGTTGCATGAATATAATATAATATAATATGATCAGAAAGAGCTTTATTGCCAGGTATGTGTACACATACGAGGAATTTGACTCAGGATTGTACATTGCTCATGATGTGCTTACTCATACAAAGATACCATAACACAATAATAATATAATAATAAAAATAAAATCAGACACAAACTACAGAGTAGACAACACTAATATACACACTATGAACAAAACAATATAGACATATTGACAAATAGTGCAGTGATCAGAGTGCAAAGGATGCAAGAGTAAACTATTCTTATTATGTACATGTTGAAGGTGGATGTGATATACAGGTACACATACACATGCATACATGTACACAGTGTGATGGAACATAGTGCAAAGGATGCTGGAGAAAATAAATGAGACCTATGACCTTATGACCTGAGGTAGGTTTATTGGTATACAGTATATACAATATGACATAGTATGAACAGCACTGAAATAGAGAATGGTGAATAAATAAATAATAAGTGGAAACCAGTGAACAGGTGCTGATTAGAGACAGAGTTACTGGGTTATTGCACAGGAATTGTTCCTGACACTGTGAGTCAGAAATCAGCTGTTCATCAGAGTGATGGCTTGTGAGAAGAAACTGTTCCTGTGTCTGTTGGTTTTGAATGCGATGTTCTCCAGCCTCACCTGCTGACTCCTGTCAGTCAGGAAGTCTGTGATCCACTGACAGGTGGAGGCTGGCACAGTGAGCTGGGTGAGTTTGGTGCTGAGGATGTCTGGGATGATGGTGTTGAACGCAGAGCAGAAGTTGAAATGAGTGAAGATGGGGGGCCAGCTGGTCCGCACAGGTTTTCAGGCGCGATGGTGAGACACCGTCAGGTCCAGGAGCTTTTCTGATCTTCTGCCTTTGGAAGAGGTGGCTCACGTCCTCTTCACAGATCTGGAGTGCAGGTGAGAGGTCAGAGGGGGAAGGTGACTGTTTGAAGATAGTGTTGGAGTGGGGGAGAGGTGTGTAAATATTATATATAATATAATATAAGGTACAAGGTTGTTTATTTGTCATTATACAGTACAAGGCTGCATAACGAAACAAAATGTGTAGTTCCTTCATGCCACACACACAATATTTAATATATTATAATAATATATATTATAATCTTTGTCAACTAATTTAACTTGAAGGGTAACTTCAGTATTATTTTTATTTTCCCATGTTTTTGTGTCTAACTGAGACAATGTTTTTTAAATTACTCCGGTACTGAGCGAGGACACTGTAATCCTGAGTGCCCACTAAATTGCTGTTTTTATCAATGGAGTCTTGTGGGATTATAGTGACAAAAAGGATCTTACTTTTCTTTTTTTAAATCTGTCTCTGCGGGGATCAGGATTTCATAATGTTGTCAGACTCTTGTAATAACAATCTGAGCCTGTCACTGCTTAAAAACAACTTTGACAGGGCGCAAATTAAGTTCACAGCTGCTCACTGTAGTTTTTATCAAACAGGAGGAAATAGTGCATTTGTTGGGGACTATTTTCAGCAGCGGATGAATCCACGTTTGGTGCTCTGGTGAGTATTTGGGGCAGCAGGACCGTGTATGTGAGACTGAGTCACAACAAACTACAGTGTGTGTGTTCATGGTGATGAAGGAACAGTGCAGCAGTGAGCTCACTGATGGCTTTTTAAATCAAACAATGGAGCTCTATGGCTCAGAGGGAGAAGAGAAATCAGGCTGCGATACACACACAATACAGGGGTATTCAATTAAAATTCAAAGATGGAGAAAATTTCCCGAAGTAAAACGACTAACTTGCGTTATCATTCAGTGCCATAACGTGTAGTTGTAGCAACATATGTTTTTAGTCAAAAACTGTTGAATCAAATAATATTTCATCAATATTTACTGTCAGTTTTCACACCAATGTGGAGGGATAGTAAATACTAACTTCTCTAATAATAAATTCTAAATTTAAGTAAACCAAAGGCTGCATTTAAAAAATACATAAGAGTTTTTTAGATGTGCATCTTAAAATAAAGTGCTTAGTTTCAGAAAAAAATAAAATGAAAAGTGCAGCTTGAAGTTTAGTCTTAACCAATTTTATAATAAACACTCAACACATCTTAACACATGAACACCTTTAATAACTCCTCTTCTCTTTTTTCATTCCCTCTCACATCACTTCCCTACTTTCTCTTGTTCACTGAGATTGGAAATATATGAGATATTCTGGTTTTGAACGGCCCGTGGGAAGAAAGTCCATGTAAGTATCTGTACATTCTTGATTAAAGCCACGTGAAGTCTTTTTTCTCTTTTGTCTCCTCGCTCCATGTGTGTTCACTCACAGACTTGGGGGCCAAGTCAACACCTTGAAGGCCTGTTTTGTTTTGAGGCAGGGCGCGTGGTCCTGCTGGAAGAGGCCACTGCCATCAGGGAATATTCCATCACAGGGTGAACAACATGATCTGCGACAAAGCTTAGGAAGGTGGTATGTATCACAGTAACATCCACATGAACGGCAGGACTAAAGGTTCCCCAGCAGGACATTGCTGAAAGCATCACACTGCCTCTGCCGGCTCGCCATCCATGTGAAGAAACGTGATCCATCAGACCAGGTCACCTTCTTCCACTGCTCCAAGGTCCAGTTCTGATGCTCCCATGCAGACACTTTCGGTAGTGGACAGGGGTCAGCGTGGCTGGTCTGAGGCTATGCAGACAACAGACTGCGATGCTCTGTGTGTCCTGACACCTTTCTATCAGATCCAGCAGTGACCTTTTCAGCAGTTTGACCTACAGTAGCTCATCTGTTGGCTCGGACAACACGGACCAGCCGTCACTCCTTACATGCATCAGCGAGCCATGGCTGAACACTGCGGACTGGTGTACTGGAACTTTCCCTTTAGTGAGTCTTCCGAAATGTTTTCTTTAAGGATACATACAGGGTGCAACCAGCCTGCAGAGTGTAAGACAAAGAGCCAGAGGAGAAGCAGGTGACTCATGTTTATCATGCAGCTTTCTTAGAACGGAAGAGAGTAGAATCCAACTGCCCTTTGTTTCCTATGAAGGACAGTCAGAAAAGAAACAAGATATTTTCCCATGAGAACTGCTTTCACCTATTGCTGCAACATAGTAAACCTTTAAGCACCACACAGTGAAACATAGACCTATAATAGTAAGGCATACAAAACAGTAAACACAGGAAAACCTAAAAATTCCAGCTGCAGTTTTGGAGATGTTGTGACTCAGTTGTCCAGCCCTCACAGTCTCAAATCCTCACCCTTACCCATTTTTCCTGCTTCTAACACACCAGCTTTCAGAACAACATGTTGATTTGCTAATATACTGGGATACAAACACAGATATTTGGACCATTTGACAGGGACTCTGGTTTATACTGTGATTGCAGATAAAAGTCAGCATCAGTAACATCCTGATTTCAATCTAAGCACACATTATGTTTTCTGTGAGGCTTTTTGCAGAATTGTTTTCACGTGTCATTATCTTCACATTTTCTATGTAGTGCAGAAAATAGCACGTGTGAGAAGCGATAGAGAAGGAAAAAGAGGAAACAGAGGGGGAACCACCAGATGTTTCTTAGAACAGAACTCACTGTGAACTGAAATGTCTGGTACCTCAGCTGTATATAAAGGCAGCACAGAGCAGGTCTCCATCACAGATCAGCCCTGAACATTGAAGGCTTTTCGTCCGACCCAAAGCTCGTCTGTCTCTGTCGGGGAAACATGAGGACTCTGGTGACCATCCTACTTCTGACTCTCGTCTGCTTCCTGAGTTACAGCTCTGCAGGTCAGTAACTCTGCTGGATTTATCTGTGAGCTGTCGGTCTAAACTGTGTTTAGGAGACAAACTATTAAATGTTTGTGTTTGTGTTCACAGCTCCACTTGCACCAGGAATATCGAATAGGAACGGATGCTGTCTAAAGTCCACTCAGATGCATATTCCTAAGGGAAAGATAACGGACGTGGCGATGACCCCGAGTGACTGTGAACAACAAGCAATTGTGTAAGTATACAAAGAAAATGCAATTAAAGCAATAAATACAGGGCACCTTTAGGGTAAAAGTAAAACAACTTTCTATAAGGATCTAGCTCCTTGTTTAGTTTTAAATTAAATCAAACTTCTTTATATTGTGGGGTTATTTAATAACAACACTTCATATTTTCTAAGGGTTTGTATATAAATCTTTCTGTAGCAGCACAAAGTATCGTCATGTAGTAGACTCGTGTAGTGAGTGAGTAAAATGAACTGTGTGTTTCTTACAGAGTCTCGACTGTGTGCAATAAGAAGTTTTGCATTGACCCCAACTGGATCTGGGCGAAGAATCTGTTGAAAGAATTTGAGAAGTCAACTGCCAACAACTCGCCACCATCTGCCCCCTTCAATGTCACACGGTGTACAGAGAAGGTTTAAAAGTGTGAGGGTGTTGTTCCTTTGAGTATCATAATTGCATGTAGATTATTATGAAATTGGCCCTTCAGCTGATTATTATATATATATATATATATATATATATATATATATATATATAGGTCTAAGTATTTTTGCAGGTTAAAGTTGCTGCCTTTAACTGACAGTGTATATACAGCTGTGTCCTAATTTAATGTTTTCAGTGATTACAGGATTTGAAATGTATGTTTATTATTGCTACACAACGTGTTGCCCCTTTCTTAATAAAAGCTTTAATTTCGTATTTAGTATTCTGCTCTCTTTATTTTGGAGGCTGTGAGTCAAGAGCCAAACTCCTCTTTGAGTCCTGAGTCGAGACACTGAGAGACACTTTCAGGCTGTTTAATATTTAGAAATAACAATATACACTGATCAGCCATTACCTTATGACCACTGAAGTCAATAACACTGATTATCTCTTTACCCTGGCACCAGGCAGTGGGTGGGAGATATCAGGCTGCAGGTGAAGATTGCTGATGTGTTAGAAGCAGGAAAAATGGGCGGTAAAAGAATTTGTGATGAACCAGCAACAGGCTCACGGATGCAGGTGGGGGGTGAAGGCTGGCCCGTGTGATCAAACAGATGAGCTACTGTAGGTCAAACTGCTGAAAAAGTTGATGCTGGTTCTGATAGAAAATGGGAAAAGGTTCAGGAATGATTTGAGGAACATAACATCTAGTTCAAGCTGTTGACTTGACCTCCAAATTATTCAGATCTCAGTCCGACCGAGCGTCTGTGGGATGTGCTGGACAAACAAGTCCGATCCACGGAGGCCCCACCTCTCAACGTACTGCGAGGTACCGCAGCACACCTTCTGAGGTCTAGTGGAGTCCAGGCCTCGACGGGTCAGGGCTGTTTTGGGGGCAAAAGGGGGACCTACACAATATTAGGCAGGTGGTCATAATGTTATGGCTGATCAGTGTTTGTTGTTTAAAAGGGCCACTTTTAAACCACTGCAACTTCTGTGGGAATGATCTAGTGTAATTCTTTCCCTTCTGAATTTGTTTTAGAATATGCATTAATATAATCAACTAGAATGGGTAAAATGTGTGTACTGTGGCTGCCACCGCATCTGTTCAGGTTTGCATTTGGTCAACATGCCAAGAACAGGACTTGAACTCTCAACTTTGAGATTTGAATGCCAAGATTTTAACCACCAGACTATTCAGATACTGAAAGTGTACTGTAAAGAATGTTTTTATCTTTTGTGCTTGTTCTGACGTGTTGAATTGACATCAAATGCCACCAAAGCATCAATAGAGGGCACCTGATCACCACTAATACCTGGCACACGACTGTTTTGCTTGTAAATATATTTTCTGTGATGTCTAGTCCACAGTATGAGACTTAAATAAAGAAACAGCATTTACTATTCCTAAGAAACACTGATGTCCATATCATCAATAATTGCATATTAAAAAGACAGACAGTTTGCAAATGTAACACTAACATCTGTAGAAACCGAACCTTGTGTTAGAAGCCATTAAGTTTAAAAACCATACAGCTGTGTTAATCTTTGAAGCTGTTCAAAGCTGGGACCATAAAAAAGTGTTTATGGTGAAACATTTTGACTTTTTGTTGATGAAAAAGTGCATTTGCTTCCGCTGTGATTTTAGTATTTTTAGTTAGAGCTTGAGTAGCTAAGCATAAAATATACATCACATGTTCACACCCCAAACAGGAAGGAATATTAAGCAAGTTAAAGAATTGGGAAGTTAAGGAGAAGTCAGTCTGCAGTTTCTGTTGCAGTGGATGAGATCTCGACTGTAGGTTTCAATCTAAAAACTAAACCTCCATTGAGGAAGATAAATTAGGTATTTTGACAGAGAAAAGGCTTGTGGCTAATGACATTTAACTTTGGAAATAAATATCTCCTAAACTAAACATCTTTAGCAAAAACATGGTACAACTTAGAAAGATCAACATCTTTTCAGTAGTTTAAAGCTTAGATGCAGCTGCACATATGCCGGAGCAGTAAGCTTTGAAAGTTGAGGAGGTTGGAAGAAAGTCCCATAGAAACCCATTTATTTTAAAATGCATGAAAACGTTCATATGAAATCAATTATTTCAGATATCAACAATGAAAATGTACTAGCATGCATTTCATTAAGAAGATGTACATTTTGCACTGCATGTTCTTAGTTAGCAGAATTAATGAGGCCCTAAAACATACAAATATGTTTTCCAATATTGTAATAATCATTCACTAACATATAAACCCCTCTAACCAGGCTCTTTGCTCTTTAACAAATATCTACTTCTTCCTATCCAGACATTTAGACCAGGATGGACTGGTAATCTGGCCTACCTTCAAATGCCCGGTGGGCTGACATCATTTCAGGGGTAGCTATTCTGAGACTAATATCCCCCATCAAATAATGCTCCCTCTACAGACACAATTTATATTTCACCACTACTTCCTCCATGTGTACTGTAAGGAGATGTGGAGCATGTTGAAATACTATATTAGGCCATCTTTATTTAACATATCAGGGAAAGCATATTCTGATGATGATGATTTTTTGTGTTAGACTTTGCTGACGATCATCCACTGTCCCCCCACAAACAAAATTTCTTCAGACGGCTTTAGTAAGCCTATTAAAATATATTATTGTCTTGTTGTCATTGCCCCAATCTTGTGCAATGTTACGTCTCATGGGCTAAGTGTTTCGTCACACTCCTTATCTGAGCCCTTAAATGGAAGAATGGTGTATTGGTGAGGGGTGTCCATAGACAGGGCCAATTTTTTGTCCCTGTCCAGCCATGATTTGGACTCATGCAGCTGAAAACGGTCAGAAGGCCTAGTTTTAGCAGCAGTTATACATGTGCTGATGTGCATTTTCCGTGTGTTTAATTTGCATGTATATATCCACTAGCAAGGACTGCACAATCAACAGGTATGATTCAATGATTTATTGATGATCGAAATAATATAATCCTATATTATAATCCTATGAAGAGGAAGAAGATCAGGAGGCAGGACAGAGAAAGGGGTGGGGGGGGGGGGGATGCAGGATACGAGAGGGAAGGGGAGGAGTTGGGACGTGTGGGTATTTATGGAAATGCTGGCGATGACCTGGTTGATGTGTGGTCCCGCTCCTGAAACTCTGCTGATTAGCACCACTTAATGCACTTCGTACAATTTTGAGGTACTTGAGTGTTTCCATTTTCATGCTACTTCACTACATGGTGTAGTCATGGACTCAGACCTGAATTTGAGGAGCCACATTAAGACAATTAGAAAGTCAGCATACTCTCACCTGAAGAATATATCAAGGATTAAAGGACTTATGTCTCAGCAGGACCTGGAAAAACTTATTTATCTTCAGTCGACTTGACTACTGTAACAGTGTCCTTACAGGCTCCCTAAGAAATCCATCAGACAGCTGCAGCTGATTCAGAACGCTGCTGTTCCAGTCCTCACTAAGACCAAAAAGGTGGATCACATCACTCCAGTCCTGAGGTCTTTACATTGGCTTCCTGTCTGTCAAAGAATTGATTTCAAAATCCTGCTGTTAGTTTATAAAGCACTAAATGGTTTAGGGCCAAAATACATTTCTGATCTTCTGCTTTGTTATGAACCATCCAGACCTCTCAGGTCGTCTGGGATCAGGTCTGCTTTCTGTCCCCAGAGTCAAAACTAAACAAGGAGAAGCAGCGTTCAGTTATTATGCTCCGTATATCTGGATCAAACTCCCAGATAACTGCAGGTCTGCTGAAACTGTCAGTTCTTTTAAATTAAGACTGAAGACTTTTCTTTTTACCACTGCCTTTAACTAGTAGATTGATAACTTACACTGCACTGTAACTTTTATTATATTTTAATTGTATTTTTTCAATTTCCCTATGTTGCTTTTAAACTTTTTTATATTTCCCTGTTGCTTTTATGTTTTATGTGAAGCACTTTGAATTACCTTGTTGTTGAAATGTGCTTTACAAATAAACTTGCCTTGCCTTACATCTCAGAGGGAAATGATCCCGGTCCACTTTTCTCCTCTCCTGTGCCCACGCTTGTTGTTGCTGTTCTCCATCCATCCTCCAGATGGACTTTTTATTGCTTGGATACGAAATGCATTCAGAGACCAAATATTTCAAAATCCCTGAGCTGTTTTCTCACTCAAACTCAACCAAAACTCGAACCCCTCATTTCATTCCCAGATGACCTCTATGAAGACTTGTGCCAGGTGAGGCAAAGGGGGGGCAAGTGAGGCGCCGTCTCTTCCAGTCACAGGAATTACTAGACAAACATCAAAGAACAAAATCCACTACAGAAGCTGGACCCGAGGAAAGGGAGGCAGTGAGGCCGAGTCCAGAAGGAGGACGTGGAGTTTCACAGTCTCTTCCAGCCACAGAGTGATTTACAGTCTGTTTCTCTGTAGTGCACAACCTGGTTAAAAGTCACAGAGAAAAGAGAAGAAGAGGAAGGAGGACACACCGAGGGAACCACCAGCTGTTTCTTAGAACAGGACTCACTGAGAACAGAAAGGTATGGAGACCTCAGCTGTTTATAAAGGCAGTGTGCTGGATAATCTTTGATTTGTTACAATGCATCTATGTAATTTATGGCATAATGCATAGTGACGCAGGAAACATGAAGCATCTCAGGCTCAGTTTAGCCTCTCTGTGACTCTGAAAGGCCTTTGCAGATACTCCATAGACTCCAGCCAAAAGTTTGACACACAATACAGACTTCTTAGATATTAGAGAGCTGAAAACCAGATGTTTTCTTGTTGCTACTTGTTTGATTTGAGCCAAAACCTTCAAACTGATCAACCACAGCGATGCTCACACTGTGCAAAGCAGAATTCTCGCCAAGATCAATATTGATTGTTCTTGTGGAAACATTTAGTGGAATATTGGTGGAAGTCTCTCCTAATGTGGTAAAAGAGAGACTCTGGACCGGGCGGGGTTTGTCTATATAATGCTTGGATTTTTGAAACTACTTCAGTTCTTTCTGCAGAAATTAACTCTGGTCTTTTTGTGTGAGTTAATAAAAAAGAAGATCTTCAAAAGCTCAGAACTGTCTGCTTCATTTTATTGATTCGGATTTATTCGAATCTTCCAAAAGAAACGCAAAGAAGAGAATTTCTTTTTCAGCTCTTAAAGGCTTTTCATCCGACCTGAAGCTCGTCTGTCTCTGTCGGGGAAACATGAGGACTCTGGTGACCATCCTACTTCTGACTCTCGTCTGCTTCCTGAGTTACAGCTCTGCAGTCAGTAACTCTGCTGGATTTATCTGTGAGCTGTCGGTCTAAACTGTGTTTAGGAGACAAACTATTAAATGTTTGTGTTTGTGTTCACAGATCCAGTTGCAAGGAATGTCGAATAGGAAAGTATGCTGTCTAAAGTCCACTCAGATGCAGGTTCCTAAGGGAAAGATAGCAGACGTGGCGATGACCCGAGTGACTGTGAACAACAAGCAATTGTGTAAGTATACAAAGAAAATGCATTAAAGCAATAAATACAGGGCACCTTTAGGGTAAAAGTAAAACAACTTTCTATAAGGATCTAGCTCCTTGTATAGTGTTAAATTAAATCAAACTTCTTTATATTGTGGGGTTATTTAATACAACGCTTCATATTTTCTAAGGGTTTGTATATAAATCTTTCTGTAGCAGCACAAAGTATCGTCATGTAGTAGACTCGTGTAGTGAGTGAGTAAAATGAACTGTGTGTTTCTTACAGAGTCACGACTGTGTGCAATAAGAAGCTTTGCATTGATCCCAACTGGACCTGGGCGAAGAATCTGTTGAAAGAATTTGAGATATCAACTGCCAACAACTCGCCACCATCTGCCCCCTTCAATGTCGCACCGTGTACATGGAAGGTTTAAAAAAGTGTGAGGGTGTTGTTCCTTTGAGTATCACAACTACATGTAGATTATGTTCTTTATAAACATGCCTGTCACTGTCTGTCAGCCCTGCAGCTGATTAATTAAGGATGATTATACACAAAAATATCTTTGTAGGTTAAAGGTGCTGCTTTTAACTGACACCGTGACCTAAATAATAACTTCTAAAATATCAAAACACACCAGCGGCTTCTAAGATCAGAAACTATCAAGTGTTTAGTGTGCATGACTGAGTCAACATGAAGTGATATTTTATACTCAAATCTCTACAGCTGTGTCCTAATTAAATGTTTTTCAGTGATTACAGGAGGATATTTGAAATGTGTGTTTATTATTGCTACACAAAGTGCTGCCTGTTTCTGAATTAAAGCTTTCATTTTGTATTAAGTGTTCTGCTCTCTTTATTTTGGAGGCCGTGAGTCAAGAGCCAAACTCCTCTTTGAGTCCTGAGTTGAGACACTGAGAGAAACTTTCACGCTGTTCAATATTTATAAATCAGAAATATGTTGTTTAAAAGGCCCCTTTTAAAATACTGCGACTTTTGTGTGAATTCAACACTGACGGAAAGTGACTAATAACTCAAGTACTGTACTTAAGTACAATTTTAAGGTACTTTACTTGAGTATTTCCATTTTCTGCTACTTGATAATTCTACTTACTACATATCAGAGGGAAATGCGGTCCATTTTTCTCGCTCCTGTGCCCACGCAGACCTTGTTGTTCTCCATTTATCCACCAGATGCCCCCCATTTCCAACAATCAGTCCAGCAGTCATTTCCACCTCGACAGTTACCAGTTACTCTGCAGCTTCACATTACAGTTGGTTTGTTTCTTACAATTGCTAAGCCAAATTTCTCTAAACAAGTTAGCTTTTTCAAAATTCTTCACACAGTCAGCTCAGCAGAAATCAATGAACTAACTAAACTAAACTGTGGATCACTTTCTGTTGCTTGGATGTGAAATGCATTCAATGACAGCGCCTTTCAAAATTCATGAGCTGTTTCGTCACTCAAACTCAACCAAAACTCTGTATTGACACACAAAAAAATGCATCAACTCCTAACTGGGACACTGAGCGCCTCATTTTATTTACATTTGACCTCTATGAAGAGGCACAAGGGGGGGCAGGTGAGGCGCCGTCTCTTCCAGTCACAGAGAGGTTTGCAGTCCGACTCAGGGTGGAGTCACTTTTCCTTTTACCTCTACTCTCCATTCAGCAACCCCTCAGAGGAAATCTTGTCCTCATGGAGGTGGGAAGTTTCTGACCAGCAGCCACATGATCAGATTTCCCTCTTGGACACAAGGAGAAGGTGGACGAGGCAGGAGTCAGGCCAAGAACAGGAATTACTAGACAAACATCAAAGAACAAAATCCACTACAGAAGCTGGACCCGAGGAAAGGGAGGCAGGTGAGGCCGAGTCCAGAAGGAGGACGTGGAGTTTCACAGTCTCTTCCAGCCACAGAGTGATTTACAGTCTGTTTCTCTGTAGTGCACAACCTGGTTAAAAGTCACAGAGAAAAGAGAAGAAGAGGAAGGAGGACACACCGAGGGAACCACCAGCTGTTTCTTAGAACAGGACTCACTGAGAACAGAAAGGTATGGAGACCTCAGCTGTTTATAAAGGCAGTGTGCTGGATAATCTTTGATTTGTTACAATGCATCTATGTAATTTATGGCATAATGCATAGTGACGCAGGAAACATGAAGCATCTCAGGGCTCAGTTTAGCCTCTCTGTGACTCTGAAAGGCCTTTGCAGATACTCCATAGACTCCAGCCAAAAGTTTGACACACAATACAGACTTCTTAGATATTAGAGAGCTGAAAACCAGATGTTTTCTTGTTCCTACTTGTTTGATTTGAGCCAAAACCTTCAAACTGATCTACCACAGCGATGCTCACACTGTGCAAAGCAGAATTCTCGCCAAGATCAAAACTGATTGTTCTTGTGGAAACATTTAGTGGAATATTGGTGGAAGTCTCTCCTAATGTGGTAAAAGAGAGACTCTGGACCGGGCGGGGTTTGTCTATATAATGCTTGGATTTTTGAAACTACTTCAGTTCTTTCTGCAGAAATTAACTCAGGTCTTTTTGTGTGAGTTAATAAAAACGAAGATCTTCAAAAGCTCAGAACTGTCTGCTTCATTTTATTGATTCAGATTTATTCGAATCTTCTAAAAGAAACGCAAAGAAGAGAATTTCTTTTTCAGCTCTTAAAGGATTTTCATCCGACCTGAAGCTCGTCTGTCTCTGTCGGGGAAACATGAGGACTCTGGTGACCATCCTACTTCTGACTCTCGTCTGCTTCCTGAGTTACAGCTCTCTCTTTTTTTTTCCTGTTAGTGAAATATAAAGTATCTGATAATGGAAGTACTCAAACACAGTGAAAGTACTTCAAGTTGCAACTCTTTTTAACATTAATTATTTTATTAAATAATCAACAATCAAATTTAATGTCATTAAAAAAACATCAAATGAGAAGTTCACAGTCAAAACCAAACATTTGCTAAATATATTATTATAACAGTTATATATTAATTCACTAACAATTGCTTTAGCAATTTGAAGACTACAGAGGAGGGAGCTGTTCAGTTATTTTGAATATCACACACATCACAGAGTCTAGACCTGCTCTTTTATGGGGATAACTGTGATTTGGCGCTATATAAATAAAATCTAATCAAATTGACCTGATGGTAAAAAAAAGGCTGCTACTGTAAATGGTACAATTTATAGTACTTTTACTTATAGGACTTTATACTTCATTACAACTCAGAGGTAAATATTATACTTCTTACTCCACTACAGTAACAGCTGTAGTTAGAAGTTTTTTTGCAGATTCACATTTTACAAGAAAATAAATATACAGAAGTTCAAAAAAAAAGGGTTCAGTTACAGATTATATTAAACTACATTATACAGAGTAAAGAGCTCTAAAACAACAAACAAACATCTTAGATGTTTATGCATCAGCAGTACAATAGAATACGACTTTTTAACAATTGTTAGTGTAATAATCTAATAATTTAATATACACTCAGTTCAACAGTCCTGCAACAATCCTCCTTCGTGAGGTGTTGACTCAGGTTTCATTTCGGTTTCAGTTTTAGCTGCTTTGAGTCAGTGACCCTTGTGATTCTAACATGTTCAGCATGTGTTGTGTGTTTCTTACAGAGTCACGACTGTGTGTGATATAAAGATTTGTCTTGATCCCAGATGGCCCTGGGCAAAGAATCTGTTGAAAAGTCAACTGCCAACTCGCCACCATCTGCCCCCTCCAGTGTTGCACGGCGTACATGGAAAATTTTGGATGTGTGAGGGTGTTGTTCCTTTGAGTATCATAACTACATGTAGATTATGTTCTTTATAAACATGCCTGTCACTGTCTGTCAGCCCTGCAGCTGATTAATTAATGATGATTATACACAAAAATATCTTTGTAGGTTAAAGGTGCTGCTTTTAACTGACAACGTGACCTAAATAATAACTTCTAAAATATCAAAACACACCAGCGGCTTCTAAGAGCCAAACTCCTCTTTGAGTCCTGAGTTGAGACACTGAGAGACACTTTCAGGCAACCCGCTTACGCTGTTTAAAGGTTGAAAGATTTAGTGGCACCTTGAAATGAGGTTAGAAATTGCAACCAACTGTCTAGTCTACCCAGTTTACTCAAGTACCGTATTTAAGTACAATTTTAAGGTACTTTACTTGAGTATTACCGTTTTCTGCTACTTGATATTTCTACTTCACTACATGTAAGAGGGAAATACTCTGCTTTTTACACCTCCCGGTCCACTTTTCTCTTCTCCTATGCCCATGCAGACCTTTGCTGTTCTCCATCCATCCACCAGATGCCCTCGGACTTTCCCTCATCTGCCCTGCATCTGGCCCTCCTTCCTCGCTCGCCTGTTCTCATTTCCAATAATCAGACCCATAGTACACCAGGTCATTTGCACAGTGACCCGTTACTCTTCAGCTTTAGATTACAGTTTTTTGTTTTTTTTTACAATTGCTAAGCCACATTTCTCTAAACAAGTTCACTTTTTCAAAACTCTACGCACAGAAAAATGTATTTAACAACCATGTCTTTCCCTCAAACTTAATTGGGACGACGAGCCCCTCATTTTATTCCCAGATGACGTCTATGAAAGACTTGAGCCAGGAAAGGGGGCAGGTGAGACGAGAACATTTTCATTTTCATCCAGTCGCAAAGTGGTTAACAGTCCGGCCCAGGATGGAGTCACTTCTCTCTTAGTGTGCTTAGTTACAGGAGTGTTTCTGTAACTAAGCACAGTGAGAGAGGGAAATGGAGGGTGACAGAGGTGTAGGCCCTAATCCTTTCACAGATTACCTCTATAAAAGACTTGTTCCAGGAGAGGAAAGGCGGGCAGGTGAGGCTGAATCCGAAAGGTTTTGCAATTGTACAGGACGACATGGTGTTTCACCCTCTCTTCCAGTCACAGACTTTTTGTGAGCCTTTGCTCTGTGACACAATGAATGCTGGATGTCTGGACACTGACAGACTGACAGGGATGGATCAAATGAAAGAAAAGATCCTTACAAGAGAGGGTAGAAGGTGTGATGTGGATGAGAACTTGTGGCCACATGCAGACGACAGGGTTGACCAGCACTGTTGTATTTCTATATTTGTAGCTCTTCTATCCATGTATGTATATTGAACATGTATGGTTTTGTACTGAATTACTTTCATTTTGAATTTCTCTTTGTAAAAATTTCAGAAAAATCTGATTCAGTTCTGATTCATCGCTGTGACATTTACTGTAAGGCAGCACAACCGGAGTAATAAATAGATATGTGACCTTATTTCTGTTGTAACTGGATCTTGCTTCATGCTAAATAAACACCATAATCTGCTCGTCTGATCAGAGAGTCGTGAGAGAGGTGTTTAACCATGCAACAGAGAGCCACAGAGGGGAAACAAGGAACAGAGTAAGAAGAACAAACACAGAAGCACCGTGCCTCCGCTCACCTCTCCACCCGGATGCAACAGCTGCCTCCACCTGAGTCAGAGGATCGCTGAGCTGGAGGGCCGAGTTTCAACCGTGCACCAGAGCTGCGAGGATGAGCACCGCACTGACTCAATAGTTGCCTTAGCAACATCCAGGCTGGCTGAAAATTACATCACTCTCCCCTGGCTTGGCACTACCACCATCGGAGAGCCAGAAATAGTGAAAGCTCCACCAGTCCCCCTGGAGGATCCCTGGCCCAGCCTGGCCAACATGTTCTCATCTCAGATAGACGTTTTGAGAAAACTGACAAAGCGTCTATATTTGACAAGGTGCCCTTCATCGTCTGTATGCAACACCTTTAGGTTTAGGAAAGGATCATTGTTTTGGTTAGGTTTAGGAAAGGATCATGATTTTTATTAGGTTTTTGAACAGATCCTGGTTTTCGTTAGGTTTAGTTGGGTTTAAATCAGTACATTATCTGATGGTGAATGGGTTCCATTGGAGTTAGGTCTAGAGGCCACCAGCCTGTCGAATATCCTTCTTTAGAGGTTCGCATGTACATATTTTTAAATTGTGATGTTATCTCTATTTAAACATGCAAAAGAATTAAATATATCTTTCCTTCCACTCAGGCGTTGCGGTCACTTACATCGTCCTACCGAAATGAGGTCATATCACAATATGCTGCCATTTAAGAGCTGGAGGGGATGGAAGGAGGGGGTGGAGGGCAAAAATGTTTTCTCACCCACCCTCGCAGTTTCTCTGTAGTGCGAAAAATAGCCCTTGAGACAAGTGACAGAGAAAAGGGAAGAAGAGGAAACGGGGGAACCACCTACTGTTCTTAGAACAGAACTCACCGCCTCAGTTCAAGTGAGGTAGGGACCTTGCTAAAGTTTATGGCCCAGTGATGTTCCCTTGAATTTCACACCACAGTCCAACAGAGTCCTCTTCCTTGGATGACATACGCCATGATGAGGGATATACCACGCCATGCCTCTGCCAGGATCCTGCTGCTGTTTTGTAGGTTTTCTTTGCATAACCTAAACTAATCATCTCGTTACGGAACGTTGTGAACTCATGAAACTGTTGCTCAGGAACTTCACCTCAGAGATATTTAAATATGTATAGGATATATAAAAGTTTCCTAAGGTTCTCAGTCATCCAGGTCATAGTTATCCAAGGAAGGTTAAAAATCAAGGGCAACTTTGAGATACTCAAAGACATTTCGCCTCTCATCCAGAACTGAAGAAGCCTCTCGAAACACAGTATGTACAGGGGCATCTAAGAAAATTAGAATATTGTGAGAACATTTTTTTTTGTTGTTATTTAAGTCAAAAAGTGAGAATTTCATATATTCTAGATTCATTACATACAAAGTGAAATAGTTCTAGATCTTCTTTGTTTTAATTTAGTTGATTACGGCTTATTAACTCATTCACCGGTAGTGTTGTAGTACTCCAGACTGGTCTTAAGACCACTTTTTGATGGTCTTGGTCTCGTCTCGGACTCGACCGCATTTGTACTCAGTCTTGTCTCGGTCTCGGACATTGAGGACTCAGGATTTTATTTCAAGACCATATGGGAATATCAATAAATTGCTTTTGCATTGTCTGATTTATTTGTTAAAATCCTAACTTTGACTGGATGTAAAACGTATTGCTTCAAATGCAACCAATAACCCTAATTAAACATATATTGTTACCATTAACGACTGTCACCCCTCCCTGCGGTGCTTACGTTGATTTCAGCTCTTAGTGTTTGTATGTGGGTGTTTTAATGGGAACAGAAGATCAATTTGAGAAGAACCTGTGATCTCGTTCCACATTTTATTGTATGTCATGTAATGTGGGGAACTGGTCTTGGACTTGACTCGGTCTGGCCCTCCCTCGGTCTTGGTCTTGACTTGGTCTCGGTTTGGGCGGTCTTGACTACAACACTACTCACTGGCTCATTAACAAGGCCGTCCGTCTCTGACACTCCCTCCTTCCCTCTCAAATACTGTATATCTTTGCACATGTAAAAATGATTTCATTTCACATCATTGCACATACCTGGTATATTGCACATATTTGTTGCGTGTTAAGTGTTAATCGTTATTCTTTTATATTTTGTCAATTTATATATTTACATCATCTATCTGTTCCACATTTATATATTTCTACATTTATTTATGTCAACTCTGCTCGTCAGCTTGTGGAAATCAAAAATCCATATCTCAAAATATTACAATAAAGACTAAAACAGAAATGCCGACCTGAGAAGAGCCTTCAATCTCTCAGTCTGGTTCAGTGCACACAACCACAATCATGGCGAAGACCCCTGTCCTAACAGCGGTCCAGAATATATTTACTGACCCCCGTCCACAAGGAGGGGA